AGGTGACTTCCTGGGTCCTGAGCGACAGTGGTGTAACAGCACATGTTTTAGATCCTGGCTGGTGTATTTTAAAACAAGGTCATCGATGGCATGGAGGGAGATATAAAGGGGGTTTTTATATCTTCCTAATTTTTTCCTCCTAGGAGGGTGAGAGAGAGCAAATGGTTGTATGTTGATAACTGGCCATTTAAAGGGATCTCTGTGTTATATTTTAATTGTTGACTGATCTAGTAATGTTGACTGATTTATTTATGAATTGTTTTAAGGAGACAAATAGAGTTGTCGTGATGTGTGGAAAGAGCATGGGTTAGGATTTGGAGAGATGTGAGACTGGGGTCACTAACTGTGTTACATCAGGCAAGGACTCAGGCTGTGTACTCATTTCCTCCGGGGGGAGGGGAGATTCCTGTCTGACTGAGGGTTAGTATTAGATATAGAGTGTCACTGAGGCTATTAGCACTGGACCGGGATGCCTCATGGACACTCCATTACTGGAAGCTATTATTTTTGCTGTTTATAAAGAGAAAAAGCATAAAGTCATGAGTATACATACTTCTGTATTACTTATTTTCTGCCAACTCTCTGTTAATAGAACTAGTAGTAGGTAACCCCTTAAACTTGGGTTGAACATACCATAACCAATATATTGTAAATATTTTACTTATTTCAAATCAAAACAGAAATTAAGCAGACCATTGAAATGAGATTGAATCTTCTAGAAAAAGTAGTTATTCCGTGTAAGTGCTATTTCGAGTGATAATTTTGCTATATTATTTCCAGTGTCATTTTTGTTGGCGTTAATGACATTTTTGATCAGAGTAGAAATAACTTAATGAGATACTAAAGCTGTCCATCACATGAGTATACATCATGCATCAAAAAGATAATTCTTTATAATTGAAATTGCCAGTGAACACCCAGTAATTTCTTAAAATTTGTTTTTATCACTCATCCTTGGAAACAAATAGTTTTAATGTTGCGAAATCAAAGAAAGAGGATATTTAACATTGAAATCTAAAAAGGTAGTTAGCATTTCATTTGTCCATTGGGGAAATAAAAATGGAAATGAAATGAATGTCAACAAAACATGCCCTCGGTTAAAACAACGGGATCTGGAAGTTATCTTTTAGGCTACAACCCCAGACTTTGAAGTGCATTAGGTGTCTGTTGGAATCTTACCAAAATTCATCCCAGTGGATTGGGTTCTGATATTTACTAAAACGTTAGTCCCTGTCTTGGTGAGTTCAGTTGACACATGGATTTGGTACAAGTAGGAAGTCGCTGGAGTGTTCTAATGCCCTCTAAAAGGGCAAGTGCATGGGGCTTAGACCTGGGAAAATGTGAACCCATAGGTCCCAAAGAATTCTCATCTTAAGGTGAAGCCAAGTAGTGACCTGGCCAAATTTATGATTTCTAGAACCCAACTAACTACCTGGGGTTGAGTTTTCTCTCAGTCTTGTGATGCTGGGCAAGTTACTGTACTTCCAGGCCTCTATTTCTCCATCTCTAAAATGGGCATGATAATAGTTCCTGCCTCAACAGATGTTTGTGGGTGAAATGAGATAATCCCCATGAGTTGATAGCACTCAGTAACACACAGGCTAGAATTATCTCAGCCTCTTCTTTGCTCTCTCTGTCCAGTGGGACTACCTCTCAGTCATACCTTTCTCTAGTGAAGCATGAAAGAGTCATTCTTTGCTTGTTTGAGAAGAACAGTTGCATTTCAAAAAGTTTTTATTTTATTTTTTTTAAACTCATCTTTATTGTTGAATATATTACAGATGTTTCTCCCTTTTTTCCCCATTGACCCCCCTCCTTCCCATTCCCGCTCCCTCCTGCCTTCCCCACACTATTGTCAGTGTCCATCGGTTGTGCATACATGCATAGAAGTTCGTTGGTTTATCTCATCCCACCCTTCCTCCTCCTTTCCCTTTGAGGTTCATCAGTCTAACAACCAATTTGTACTTCTTAATTTCTTCATCTTTTTCACCCATCCCCCCAAGCCCCACCCATCTGGCAAGCAACAAAAAATTCTCTGTATCTATGAGTCTGTTTCTGTTCTGCTTGCTCATTTTGTTTGTGGATTCAATTGTTGATAGATATGTATTAATTGCCACGTTATTAATATTTTTGTTCTTCGCCTTCAGGAAGACCCTTCAACATTTCATATAATACTGGTTTGGTGGTGATGAATTCCTTTAGCTTTTTCTTGTCTGGGAAACTCTTGATATGGCTATCGATTCTAAATGATAGCTTTGCAGGATAGAGTAATCTTGGTTGTAGGTCATTGCTTTTCATCACCTTGAATATCTCTTGCCACTCCTTTCTGGCCCACAAAGTTTCTTTTGAGAAATCAGCTGACAGTCTTATGGGAACTCCCTTGTAGGTAATGGACTGCTTTTCTCTCGCTGCTTTTAAGATTCTCTCTTTGTATTTAACCTTTGGTATTTTGATGATAATGTTTCTTGGTGTGGACCTCTTTGGGTTCAACTTGTTTGGGACTCTCTGTGCTTCCTGGACTTGTATGTCTGTTTCATCAAGTTAGGGAAGTTTTCTGTCATTATTGTTTCAAATAGTTTTTCAGTTTCTTGCTCTCTTCTCTTCTCCTTCAGGCACCCCATGATACAAATGTTGGCATGCTTGAAGTTGTCCCAGGGCTCCTTACACTGTCCTCATTTTTTGGATTCCTTTTTCTTTTTGCTGTTTTAGTTGGGTATTTTCTGCTTCCTTATATTCCAAATCAATGGTTGGCTTCTTGGCTTTACCTGCTCTAATACTGATTCCCTGTAAATTATTCTTTATTTCAGTTAGTGCATCCTTAATTTCTGACTGGCCCTTTTTGATGTTGTTGATGTTCTCACTAAGTTCCTCAGAGGTCTCCTTAAGTTCCTTGAAGGTCTCACTAAGTCCCTTGGATGTCTCACCAAGTTCCCTGAGCAACCTTATGACCTGTGTTCTGAACTCTGCCATCTGTTAGATTGCTTATCTCCATTTTAGTTCTTTTCCTGGAGTTTTGATCTTTTCTTTCATTTGGGACATGTTTCTTTGTCTCCTCGTTTTGGCTGCTTCCCTGTGATTATTTCTATGTATTAGGCAGAGTTGCTATGCCTCCTAGGCTTCATAGGGTGGCCTACTTTTGTAGGTGTCCTGTAGGATCCAGTGGCACAGTCTCCCTGACCACCCCAACAGGGCCCTCGCGGCATAACCCTAGTGTGGACCATACACCCTTTGGTTGTAATTGAGTCTTGATTGCTGTTGGCACATCAGTGGAAGAGGTTTACTCAGGCTGGTCAGCTGCAAGGACTGGACCTTGGACGATCAGCTGTGTAGGGGCCCACCACACAGAGCAAGACTTACTTCAGCAGGGCTCTGGTACCCACTGAGTCCACTCATTGAGTGTGTCACTGTGGAGGTGGTTGAGTGGTGGCGTTTTGATGTGGTCTGAAGCTGTCCACCAGGTGTGCTGGCTCTGGGGCAAGGTCAGCCACTGCCTGTGTTCTATCTGGGACCACCTGGCATAAACTACAAAGTGAACTGCAGATGTCTGCTTCTTGTGCTGGGCTTGGAGGTGTCCAGGAAAAGCCACGTTGTGAACCAAGGCTGCTTCTAGTGCCAGGCCTGGGGCTACTTAAGGAGAGGTATGAGGCTCGCTGAGACTGGCCCCTCTCGAGCCCGGCTCCTCACCGCTTTTGTGGGCCACTGGGTTGCACAGGTCCAACCAGAACCCCGGCTCCACACCGCTCTTATGGGCCGCTAGATAGCACAGGGGCCCTATGGAGCCCCTGGTCCCACCTGGTGGCTGGGGAGTGCTACTGCCCAGTGGGGCTCAGCTTCTGCTCAGCCTTTGCTATATATATATATTTTTTGGGGGAGATAGTTCTCTGCTGCTGGTCTGTGCTTCTGTTTCCCGGGGATGGATGTCAACTCCCCAGCCTCTGTTGCTGGGGGTATATCTCTACTCTGATTGGGCTGCCACTGCGGGGGATGGTGCTGGGCTCCTGGCCGTTTGCGGTTTCGCAACCAGCACCTTGACAGCTCCACTACTGTGCACTGGTCTGTGTTGACACTGGGTGTCCACTGGCCCAATGGTACCAGGTGCACTAGTGGGCTCAGGTACCAGATGCTGCTTGTTTGAGAGATTTTAGGAAACTCTGAAGCAGGATCCAAGATAGGCCAGTCCTATAGTAAAGCCTTTGGAAACAGCTTGGATGGGCCTGCGAGTTGGGTGGGGCGGGGCCTCAGGGAATCACCAGGGCCAGGCCAACAGTGTGAGCCAGGTTGCTGGAGTCCCAGATATGGCAGCATCTGCCTGCCTTGTTGGGGGAGGGCTCCCCAAAGGGTTCCACCAGCACATCTGTCCAGGAGAAAGCTGCCCCTCCAGCCCTTGTCCAGAAACCAAACAGCTCAGTTCTTCCCTGTTCTCTGGTGCCCCTCGAGCTGCCTCCCCTCGGAGCTCAGAGGGAGCGGGTCTGAGTAAGTCTGCAGGCTCTTTAAGAGGAACTGCTGGGGCTTCCACAGGTGCAGCCTCCCTCAGCCTCAGTTCCCGCTGGTTTTACAGCCAGAAGTTATGGGGACTTTTCTTCCTGGCACTGGGACCCTGAGCTGGGCACCTGGTGTGGGACGGGGTCCCCTCAGTCCTCAGGGGATCTTCCCAGCCGAGGTGTCCTTCTGATTTTTATCTGCCACACGTGTGTGTGTGTGGGACCAGCCTGTCTGCCTCCGCCCCTCCTACCAGTCTCAATGTGGTGGCTTCTTTAATTCCGTAGTTGTAGGACTTCCATTCAGCTCGATTTCAGGCGGTTCTGAATGATGGTAGTTTTGTTGTAATTTTGATGTGGTTGTGGGAGGACATGATACTGCGTTTACCTATGCCACCATCTTGACCTACCTCCCCAAAAAGATTTTTTTTAAAAGGAATATAGTAGTTGTAGTAATGTTGAGGGTGATGCTTTGCCACCAAAGGTAATCCAAACTCATTCAATTCTGTTATTTGTTTACAGGGAACGCGGGTCTGGCTGAGAGAAAATGGCCAGCATTTTCCAAGTACTGTAAATTCCTGTGCAGAGGGCGTCGTCGTCTTCCGGACAGACTATGGTCAGGTGAGCACAGTTCCTTGGCCCAAAGGGATGTGGAGTGCACACCTCAGGTGTCTGCGAGACGCAGTCACGTTCTCCCAGATGGAGCACAGAAAGTGTGCCAACCAGGACGGGACAGAAGAGCATTCCACTTGGCTGGTCTCCTTCCTGGGATCTTGTCCAAGAATCAGAAGTATGGAATGCAAGCAGCTGGAGGAATATATTGATGTTTGCTAATTGGTTTCATTACCACGTTCCCTTAGAATATTTAAACTTTCATAGAGTATTGGAAATACTGACTTGCCAGTAAGAACGTAGTGTGGCGGTGTCCCGATCCCTGTAAGAATTAGCCTGACTAAACCCCTAACCTGAGCTTCCTTATCCACCTTGTTAAGCAACTAAAGTTCCTTCTCTATGTGGGAATTGAGCTGCTCCTTGTTCCCCTTTTTTTTAGTGTAAAACAAATGAGAAGCCCTATTGCCGAAAGCAAATACCATGTGAACCCAGAGACTGGCTCAGTGATTGTACAGCTGACCGTTGAACAACATGGGTTTGAACTGTGCAGGTCCATGTATACATGGGTTTTTTTTTTTAAAGTATGTATGTATGTATGTATGTATGTATGTATGCATTTCCTCACCCAAGGACATTTTTCTTTTTTTTTTGTTCAGATAGAGTGGGAGGGAGAGAGAGTAAGAGAGAGAGAGAGACATCGATGTGAACGGGACACATCGAGTGGCTGCCACCCGCACGACCCAACCAGGGCCGGGGACAAACTACAACCAAGGTACGCGCCCCTAGTGGGAACCGAACCTGGGTCTCTTGGGACCGCAGGCCGACACTCTAACCGCTGAGTCAAACCGGCCAGGGCTATATGTGGGTTTTTATTGATTTTTAGAGAGAGGAAGGGAGAGAGAGATAGAAACATCGATGTGAAAGAGAAATGTTGATCAGCTGCCTCCTGCACGCCCCCTCCTGGGGATCAAGCCCTCAACTGGGGAGTGTGCCCTGGCCGGGAATCGCACTAGGACCTCTCAGTTCATGGGATGTTGCTCAATCTACTGAGCCACACTGGCTGGGCTACGTGGATTTTTTTTCAATAAATATTGTAAATATGTTTTTCTTATGGTTTTTTAAATAACGTTTTCTTTTCTCTAGCTTACTTTATTGTAAGAATATAGTGTATAATGCCTATAAACATACAAAACATGTTAATCAACTTTATCCTATTGGTAAGGCTTCCGATCTTAGTAAGGTTCTGATAGAGTAAAAAATTTATGCAGATTTTTTTACTGTGCAAGGGGGGTTGGTGTCCCTAACATGTTGTTCATTAACTATATTTGAATAATTGTGAAAGGAGCCCAGTCTCTCCAGTGTATTAAGAAACTAATTTTAATGTTACAAATGGGTCCCTCCTTCAGAGGCACATATCGAAATTTAAGACATAAAGAAATAAAAGGAAGTCATATATCATCACTTAAAACTCATGGTTTCTGGCCCTTGCCAGTTTTGCTCAGTGGTTAGAGCATTGGCCCAAGTACCCAAGGGTCTTGGGTTCGATTCCTGGTCAAGAGCACATATCTGGGTTGTAGGTTTGAGGCACATATGGGAGGGAACTAATCGATGTTTCTCTCTATGTGTCTTCTCTCACATCAATGTTTCTTCCTCCTTCCCTCCCTCCCACTCTTCCTAAAACAATGAAAAAAATATCCCTGGATGATGATTAACACCAAAAAAAACAACAACAACAGCAGAAGGACCCTCCTGGTTTCTGAATCTCGTTTGTAGGTTGTGCTGAGCAGGGACTGCAAGTGCAGGCTGTGTGGTTCGAGGCAGGCAGGGTGCTGGGCTGTCGCAGCCTCTTCGCCTGGATGGCACCTTGGTGTGGTACCTTTCTCATTTCTTGGCTCCGTGAGGAGAAGTGTTACTGGACTATTTTGCAATTCCTCAGTTTCTTTTTCATCTGAGTCTTGAGCTGCTCTTTAGTGTTTGGTGGTGAAGATACAGCAGTGTTTTGTAGATTGGGGGGCGGGTAGGAAGAAAGTGGCAAAGAGATCACATGTCTGACAGCCATTGCCGGTGTGCTCACGGCACTGGTGGCCAGTCTGGTTTCTTTCCCGGCCGGCGGCCAGGTAGTGTCCTGTGATCTGTAAACGAAGGACGGACTGCCTTCTGCTGCACTTCAGGGTCGGGCACTGCGTTAATGTTGAAGTTCCTGTGCGTCTCGGTCACCATTTTTCTGTCTTGCCTTCATTCTGCCTGTGTCCCTCCTCCTGGCTGCATGAATTCAGTCCCTCTCAGGCCCTGTACATACTTCTCAAGGTGACATAAAGAGGGAAACCAATACTCAGTCTGATTTGACATAACTTTTCCTAAAAGTATTGTAAAATGGATTTGTAATGAAATTCTTTTTTGTTGTTGTTGATTTAGTTTTTAATCCCAAAGATAACTTTTTAAAACCTTTTCTCTCTTTTAAAAAAAAATGTGCTAAAAAGCCTCATAACATTAAATGTACCATATTAACCACGGTAAGTGTGCCGTCCAGTAGTGTTCAGTACACTCGTGTTGTGCAACACAGCTCTAGAACTTTTTCTTCTTGTGACACAGAAACTTTGTCCCCCGCAAACACTGATTCCCCATCTCTGTTCCTCCAGCCCTGGTAACCCCCTTTCTACTTTCTGTCTCTATGACTGACGGCTTTACATACTTTACGTGAGTGGAATCATATAGTATTTGCTGAGTTTTGCTTTTTGTGGGACTGGCTTATTTTGCTTAACAGCCCTCGAAGGTCTAAGATACTTTCTGTTCCTGTCTACCCTTTGCTTGGCAGAGGCTTCTACCATGGCAACTTCAGCAGCATTTTAGTGCTACTGCCCGTGACACGTCGGTAGTCTGTGCCGTGTGAAGACACTGTGGGCCCCTGTCGGCAGGCAGCTCTTGGTGAGGCGGGGGGAGTGGGGTGGGACAGTCAGGGCCATAGTTCTGTTCACTCTTGACAGTATTTATGGATTGTGGGTTTAGAAAGAAGGAAACCAGAATAACGTGTCCTTAAACGTGAAAACAGCTCTCTACTTGGACTTCTAATCTTCAATCACTTGGCCTTAACGTTGTCTGCTCTGTCATTCCCAAGTCTAACAAGTATAATTAGCTGGATGATTTGTGTAGGAATTGCAGGGTTTAAAAATACGAGGAAAATGAGGTGAGATAGAAAGAATTGGGCTTAGACTAGGATCAGGAACACAGCGGCCAAAATACTCTAGTTTCTTTGTCTCCTGACCTAGAAGTTCACTGTGGGACAGAGGGGCATGGTCACTGAGGATTAGGAGAAGTTTGTTAACTGGCCCTGGTGCCCAGGACAGGAACGCCTGCTTTTCAAACTGGGCCAGGATGAAGCTGTGAAGGGATCGGGGTCAAATATGCAGAATATGGCTTTGTCCTAGTCAAGCCCCTGTATAGTAACTTTTCAAGGCATTGGCTAATTTCAGTCCAGTTTGGTATGTTATTAAAAGGTGTTAAGAAATTAGTGTTTCTTGGGGGAGAGAGGAATGGGAATTTATTGTTAAATGGGTGCAGAATTTTAGTTTTGCAAGATGAAAAAGTTGTGAGGATGGATGGTGGTGATGATTACACAACAGTGTGAATCGACTTAATGCCACTGAACTGTTTGCTGAAAAATGGTTAAGATGGCAACTTTTACGTTCGTATAGATATTCTACTACACACACACACACAAGATATTAGTGTTTGAGGTCACATGGTAACTGGTAACACCTGTCAAAAGGGTATTTTTATGTGTCTTTAAAAACAACTTTGGTGCAATTTTTATGTTGCCAGAATATGGCTTCTGAAAACATAAATGGCTTGAAAAACGAATCACACTTTGGTTTAGAGCATCGCATCTCAAACTTGACTGTCCATGAATCACATGAGGGTCTTGTTCAGGGTTCTGGAACCCCATTTGAGTAGTGAGGTTTTAGAAGACATTCCCGAAGGTCACCTTGGGGTCGTGGTTCCGACAGGGAGGTACTCTCAGGCCTCTTATGTGTGTCGTCACCAGTCCTACTCTGTGGAGGATACAAAGATGAGGAGGAGGACTATACCGAACGCCGGAAGCGTTTCTGGGCCTTCTGAGGCTTTGCTTTTCTTCGTGCCCTCCCTTCTGACAACTGTGTCACCTTGAGCATGGCCAGGGATGGTGTGACTTCAGCATAATAATCCTCAGGTAGACTCAAAAGCAGTTTTAAAAATCCTGTTTAGTGTTAGAGATCAAGCAGAGCCTTGTATAACTAAAATCCTAAAATGGAAGCTGGGGGACCCTGGGAGGTAGCAGATGATAGTGTGGTGTTTTTTGTGTGTCAACACAAAAGGGCACGTTTTCTTTTTTTCTATCTTTACCTGAGGACGTTTTTGCATTTATCTTCAGATAGAGTGGGAGGGAAAGATGGAGGAAGAGAGAGAGAAACATTGATGTGAGAGAGACACATCGAGTGGTTGCCACCCACAGGACCCCAACTGGGGCTGGGGATAAACTGCAACCGAGGTACATGCCCTTAGCGGGAACCAGACCTGGGACTCTCTGGTCCACAGACTGATGCTCTAACCGCTGAGCCAAATGGGCCAGGGAAGGGCAGGTTTTTCTTAATTCATTCAGTCTCTGAGAATTTTGCACACTCACGCAAGCTGGTTTTTTCTTTTTCTTTTTGGCCAGGGAGATAGTTTTAAAGTTCATTTAAAATTTCATTTCATGAAATTTTTTTTTTTTTTATCCTCATCCGAGGATATTTTTCCATTTTTTGTACAGATAGAGTGGGAGGGAGAGGGAGGAAGGGAGAGAGAGAGAGAAACATCGACGTGAAGGGACATATCGAGTGGCTGCCACCCGCATGGCCCTCCACCCGCATGACCAACCAGGGCCGGGGACAAACTGCAACCGAAGTACGTGCCCTTAGCGGGAACCGAACCCAGGTCTCTCCGGACCGCAGGCTGATGCTCTAACCGCTGAGCCAAACTGGCCAGGGCCATTT